GACTCGAATTTGCAACCTAAAAACGAAAAGATTATATTCATTCCATCACAATCCTTGATGATATGCAAATACGAGGCTTATAATTTGGTAACCGGACATATGATTACGGTGGACTCCCTCATATAACGGGAGTTTAGTGTATCGAGAAATATACATAATATGGGATTGATATGAAAAACATTGAGAAATTTGAACTTTCAAAACTTGGGCCTCTAATTGTTTTGTTGAGTGTTCAGTGTTGCAACTAATTGGGCCTCTGGAATTGTCCAACTGTAGGCCCATAAAAACATGTAGCCCAAATTCAATATGCATCGTTTGGCCTCTAACATTAGACTCGAGCCTAATATTTGCTCATATATTTCGTACGCTCACAAACAAAATATTAGACTGTCATATAACATTTTATCATACAATTATCAGTTTGCTCAAAAGAGATTTTTAGATCGTAGTCCAAAAAGTTCATATGTTGCACAAAAATAATAACAAGTTGTTTATTTAATAAATAATTGTCCAAAAAGAGACAATCGTCAATTTTAACATTCAAGCATAGCTCTCCTAATGTTCGGTATCTATGTAGTAACAAACCCTACTATTAAGAGACCAAAGTTCTATTTGAAAAAATCTTATATAACCAAGTGTCTATATTACTAATATATATCCACACAATGTTCAAAATTTGTATTATACCTCATTTAAATTTGAATTTATATCAGAAAGTCCCACGTTAAAAATAAAGTACACATAGAGCTCGAACCCAAGAACCTTAGTTAAAGATGAAGAAGTACTTACTACTATGTTACTACTCCGATGGTAATATTATTATTATTATTATTATTATTATTATTTTACTGTTAATATTTTAGGGATCGTTTCATATGTGGGGTGAGGATAAGGATAACAATCTCGGAATATAATGTGAAATTATTTTATCCCGCGTTTCTTGTGATTGCAAGTTGCAAAGAATATAGCTAACGACATTAACTAGTGGATAACCACTTCAAAGATAAGACTTTGGAATTAGATTAGATCTCCAATTTCGAAAAAGGCTTACTTAACCTACTAATTAAACTAATAAAACAATTAATTAAAGGGATTACTTTGTAGCTAAGATGCTTAGATGATTACTTTATTCTAATTAATATGCTTAATCTACTTTCCCAAGGTAATTGATTCACACAAGTATATTATATATGTATATGTTAAATTAAAGTTGAAGATCTTAGCTGCAAAAAAGAAGAAGAGGATAAGCAATGATCAATAAATACTACGAAATGGATGGTGTTAAATACTCCACCTCTATAATAAGGGAGCAAAAATATTTTCTAGTACGATAGTGTTGTTGAGTCAAATCACAATAAGTAGTTTATACATCGACTTTACATCAGATATAACAGATATTGACGAGATATTATTGCTGAGTCAAATCACAACTGACAAAGTATCATGAGTCTGTCTTGCTTTGTGACGATGTTCCACCTCAAAAATTGGTTGTGGGGGTCCAAATAGAGAATTTATGCTAGTTTTTTCTTTTAAAAAAAATACAAAAAAAAAGGTCAAATAAATATTGGAAAATAAGGTAAATGATAGGAATGGGGACATTTATCCAAAAAAGAAAAAAAAAAAGGAAAAAGAGAGAATCTTGCAACACTTTGTTGTGTTTGATTCATATTGAATTGACATGATTTGACATACCATTTGCAAAAAGTTTTCCTTCAAATTTATTAAAGATCTTGAACTAGTTTAAAAATATATTTATAAAATTGAATTTGCAAACATAAAAAAATGATAGTGCTAGTTATTATGAGCATATATCACTTCAATGGAATCAATAGTCCTTTAGTACAAGTAGATACATTCAAATCCCTCTAATGACATCATATTTTTTACTATTTTTTTTTATTGATATAGCAAAGTTTTATTATAAATAACGTATAATATAACATAGCATAACATAAAAGATCGATTATAGAGTCTAATAAACCTACGTACACTTCTGCTCATTTATTGGAATAATTATTCTTGAGTTGTCCCAAGAGGATTTATAGGACGTTTACATCAAATTAATGAGTGAATATCACGTGTATATTTATATATAACTATTACTTAATTACTAATGATTAAACAACATGTATTATTTACTACATTAACTAACTTAACTACAGTAAGTCAAGTCACATTAGTTTGATGTGAACACTCGATATAAATAAGTATTTATCTGATTGTGATTGGAGTTATATTAGCTTGCATCGTTCCACAACCAATGAGGTGCATGCACCTAAATATATGATCACTTATAGTAATTGGATGTCCAACTATTATACCAAAGGAAAAAATCATTTTTCATTAAACAAATGTTCATCTCATATAGTCATAATTAACTCGATATAAAATAATATTAAGTAGAAAGGTGCACAACAACGAAATATCAAACCCGATTATACATACTTGAAATGATGGAATTATACATATATTACATGTTCGATTAACAAAAATACGATCTTTGGTCCCTCAAACTTACGTGGAAAATTTTTCATTATCAAAAAGTGGTCATAAATTATCTTTAATTTTAGTGAAAATTTATTCCAAATTAATTTCCACATCAGAAATCACTTTTATAAAGCCAAAAGAAAAAAGAAAAAAAGCCTTTAAAAGGAAAATGGTATTCCACATCATATATTGTACGGATTGTTCCCCATTTTCAAATGGTTTACGTAAGAAAATTCACTTTTCTCATTTTACAGATAAAACAGAAAATTATTATTTTAAAAAAAAAACTTATCCCACAAAGATTCTTCTGACTTATTACATGAAAAGAATTTGACTATTAAGATAAAAATATGCCCTAACAAAAAGGGACTTTTATGAACTAGGGTTCATAAGTCATCTGCGCTGTGATAAGATAGATGAGATTTCATCATCATTTATGATCAGATATTTTGAGTTTGAGTAACTTGAGTAAAAAAAATTATAGTAAGGAGAATTCAAGTTCTTTGAATTAAGAAATTCTTAGTAGGAAGCGTTTAATGTAATGTGAATCTAAATTAATAAGATCAGACATGAGCGTGTTTCGCATACAAAATGATTAAAAGAACAAATATACCCCTGAACTATCGTAAATAGTATGCAGCTATCCTCCGTCATACTTTTGGGACATTGGTGCCCCTTCCGTCCAAAAACTAGAGCATATATGCCCTTCACTCTAACAGAAATCTAAATAGGGACACATGGCGCAATCTTAACCATTAATCCGATATTTAATAAATGTCGGGTCGATGGATAAGATTATGACACGTGTATGTCCGTTAGTATAAAGGGTATATATGCTTTAGTTTTTGGACGACAGGAGCACCAATATCCCAAAAGTATGACGAAGGGTATTTGCATACCATTTACGATAGTTCGGGGATATATTTGTCCTTCTTTCCTAAAAATAATACAGTATAACCCAAAACGAGAATATAAGTTGAAGGGTAAAAGATCAAATTTGTCCATAAACTTTGTGCAATTTATCTCTAGACTGCGTATGTATATATATTCTGGCAATATTCTTTTTTTTTCTTTGGTGCTTATCCTATTTCAAGAAACAAATAGAAAAAAAACATTGTTGTATAATTTACAAACTACTAAAATTTTCTTCAATTGTTTGACTCTTTCTATTATTACAATTTGTGATATGAAACATCGTGGGATGGATAAGATCTCTTGTACAAACACTGAACACTAAGCCCCAAATGGAAAACCAATCAAAAGAGTTGTGATTTGAAACGAGATATGTAACAAACTAATATTTGTATTGATCATAAAAGAACTTACAAGCTAATTAAAGAACAAAAGAAAAATAGAAATGAGAGATTCCGTGCTATTAAAAGAAAATAACATAACTCATATCATCCTTTATAAATAGGCATCTTTAGTGTACATACTCATTCCTTTAATCAGGATCTCAAATGAAATTTGACAGTATATCGATCAATTGGGTCCTCCATCGTGGCTAGATTCGTAACCAAATATGTTCTGAGGGAAAAGTCAAGAGGATTCCACATATAATAATTGTGATAGTTTGACTAAAACAATAGATTATGAGACTAATTAGATAAACAAAATTAATGATGATCATTATTAATCTTCATTATTTTTTCTGCTTCTGATCATGACGTGCGATCAGTTAAATAAACAAGTGTTACTCTTGCCATTTGACGGTAAAAATTAAGACTGTTTTTGATAGACCGTCAACTCAAAAGAATCAAAGCAAAGTTATAAACACCATGAAGAATAAGAAACTACATGATTAATAAACACTACGTACATACCACTAATAAGGCTACGAAGAGATGGGGCTAGCCCCTTGCCTCTTCCATCGAAAATACGACAATCTACACTCTCCTATTTATTAACTTTCTACCCTAATTTTTAACCGTTACACCTTTCTATCTAAGATCATGTCCTAAGTAAGTTGAAGTTATGCCATATCATGTCTAATCACCGCCCCCAGTTCTTCTTCAACGTACCTTTATCTCTACTATTTCTCGTTACAGCTAACCTCTCACACCTCCTCAACTGGTGCATATGCACACCTTTTATTCACATGTATAAAAAAAGTATTATATTTATCCCACGTCATTTATTGAAGATTTTCAAAGAGTTATAATAGTTCTGAGCTACTCAGCTTATAACCTTGAACTATCTAAGCTATTAACACTTGAAGTTATCGTCTTAATCCATAAAATTCAAATATTGATGAGTCAATAGTCAAAGAAAATAGTCAAAATTCATACCTTTCACCTATAATTTCAACTATATGCAGCTTCTGTTATTAATCAAATTGAAAAAAAAAAAACAGAATACTTTGTGATATTAATCAAAGCATAAACTAAAACTATAAGTGCATAAAATCAAAGTCCAATTTTGAATACTTACCAAAATAAATAGTAAAGTCAAGATCATCCTGAATTCCTTTAATTCACTATTTTCTTAGAGGATAAAAAAGTCATAATTTGCCGATGCAGCATCATCAAGATTCTCATTTTCAAAAAAATAATAATATGGAGACATAATTTAGAAGCAACTTTATTTTTTTTTCTACTCCACATTATTTCTATTTTATGTGAATCTTGATGATGTTGCAGCTGCAAATAACAACTGTACATGTGTCAAATCAAAGACACTATTTGACCAATCGAAGGAGGGAAGTGAAGCGAAAATAACTATGTATCACTCACTAAATTCTGTGATTAATGAGATTTGTAAATCGATTGTTCCTGTTTGGAAAAGAAGAATATAACAGAATAGCTAATAGCATAAAAAACGAATCTTTAAGTAAAATATAAAGGAGGAAAATATATGTATATATCTCTAAAGGGTTTTGGAGAAAATGGAATTGAAATAAGGAAGAAATGGAAGAAGAAGAAGTTGAATAAAAGAGTTCATGAAGTATAGTTATATATATACACAGTTGGTTAGAGCCTCCTTTCATTTGGTTATGGCGTAGTTCGTATATCTTTTGACATATCAACGTTTGGTATATAAGTAATATCATATTTGACAGTTGGTTTAGGTGTGTTGTGCATGAATTAAATCATGTATAAGTAGTACCTTGTTCAATAACTAGTTAGCAAGGTAAGTTATTCATGTATAAAATTAATACGATATTTGATTTGCAATTTATAAATCAACATAAAAAGTTGTGAAAATATATATTTTAATTATTTTATGCAAGATATAAAATATGAAATAATCAATATATGAATAACTAAACTCAAACATAACTAATCATATTCTCGCTTAACTAATCTCTATATTAATATTACTAATACCTTACACAACTCTTACGACCATCTACCAAAGGACCCCTAATTGTATACATTATACAATAGTAAGAATAGTTGATATTACTATATGTCTTTATTGGATAATCAACTAGTATTTATCATAGAGATTTACATAATAATCTTATATATGATAGGATTGTACATTCACATACTAGATTTAACCTCTAATAAGCCATAAATGATATCTAATAGTACAAGATTAATTATTAATATTGTTTGAAGGTTCAATTAAGTAATGATAAATAGTTGGACTATGGATCCACAAGGCAACAATATATAATTATTTCTCTTATTATATAGTAGTAAACTGATTTGATGTCATTAGGATTAAAAAAACAGACAAATAAAAGACAATCATCATACATTTTTGTTTGTTAATTTGTTAGTCTTATCATATTAGTATTAGTTATTACTATGATCACACACACATATTTATATAAAGGAGCGGATGCAGAGTTAAAATATCGATATCGAGTATATATGTATCTAGTAATACTTTCAACGTATAACATAAATTTATGTATAAAAATAATACTAAAATCTTTAAAAATTTATAAATATATTAATTAACAATTATATATATTTTTGATCGAACGACTATATTTTTAATTATAGCAGCTTTTTCTGTTAACAATCAGGTAGTTCATGATCATGTTACGTTAGACAAAAGAATCTAAGGAAAACATATTATTTTGTATATAATAAAAAATGTATAAAGTGATTTAAAGGGGAACAATTCGTACGTATTATGATGTGGACACTTGACACTCTTTTTTAAAAAGATTTTTTGCTTGATTTATGCAAAAAAAAAATTGTCTAAAGTTTTTTCTTTTTATTTCTCGTTCAATGTCTGATATTCGTATAAAAAATTGATTAAGTCCGAATTCATGCATTGTAAGACTCATTTATGAAGATATCGTTTCAAATAAAAAAATGTTTAATTTTTAAAAACTTGAATCCAAAATCTTTAGTAACAATGAAAAGTGAAAGAATTTCAATAATCTCACCCTAACCTGTGTTGATGTATTGTTTAAAACTTCACATGGTGTTTTTTTTCCACTCGATGTTCGATAGCCATGCACCGACTATTCCGGATTTGTGTCGCGTAGAACTTCATTCGGCGGATAACACTTCCTACCAAAGGTATTTTCATACATAGTGCTCAATTTTAAAACATCTAATAAAAAAAGAAGCAACCACATATACTGCAACCCATCCGTGGTCGTACATGGCGTTTATGATGACAGAAAAAATTAATATAAAGACCATACATGATTAATTATAAATTTTTTGTCATGGAATAATATGATTAATTAAGAGAATGATGCCAATTATTATTTTTTAAAATTTTTAATTTTTTTTAATAAGTGTCATAAGTATTACGTGGAAGTTAATTATTCATTCCTTTTTGTCAAACTGTGATAGGATAATAAGATTCTTTTATTTAACCCAAAAACAAGGACAATTTCAAGAATAATTTCCTCGATTTATGGGCAATGGATGACCCTAATCATGGAAGACAACCTAGTACCCTTTGGATAGTTTTCTTATCTTCAATCTTTCATTATCACGAAAGGCCGGTTTGACGGATCTTCACTTTTAATCAAAAGTTTTCAAAAACTCGAATATGGAACTAAACATATTGTAGATTTGACTCCTTCAATGAATAGCAAATACTACCAAATAATTAAAAATAATAATTCTTTCTTGACCTCAAACTATTTTGGTAAACTCGACTTCGTAGCCAATTGGTCATATATAAAAGTCTAAATATTTAGAGAATATGGGAATTGAAATTACATTTACTGATATTATTAGACTATAATCTTTGAAGGAGAACCTCGAGCAACGAAAAAATTATTCTTGCTTAATCTATAAATTACGAGTTCGAGCCATGGTAACATCCATTAGGATAGACTCTCTAGACATCACACTCCTTAGAGTACACCCTATTCTGATCAAGATTTTGATAACATAAAATGCTTTGTGCATCGTGGTATTTTTTTTAAAAAATAAATAAATATTATTACAAGCTAGGCTACAAACTTTAGTAATGAACAATTGAATATGTATATATTTAGTTTCTTTCCTTTAAAAATTACATTATATAATAGTTGTTTTCCTTTTTTTTGAAAATGAAGATGATGTTTGCAAAATCATTATTTGTATTTTGTCAAGGAATTTTATTTTTTTAAAAATAAATGTCTAGTCATGCCACCTTAGCATGACATAAAGATGATGTAGTGTTGTTGTTATAATTTCATTCTTTTTTCTATTTATTTTATTTTATTTTTGTTTAAATTCACATTTTCAACTTGTTTTACCTTCTTTCCCCCCTTGCCTTAGTTGTATTTGGGCTCCACCAAATTTACAAGTGGAGTACCAACAATTTAAAGAGATTTTCCACTTATAACGTTAACTGATACGATCAAAATATTCTGTCAGTTGTGATTTAAATTCAATAATTATATCATATCAGAAAAAATTATTGCGGTCCTATTAAAGCAACAACAATCATATCGTACCAACATCAAAAGGAAAATACTATTGCATTTTTATTGAAGGAATCATGTAATCTATCGACTGTTATATGACTCAGCAAATAATATAGTACGAAAAAATAATAATGTTCTTTTACTATATACTAGTGGCGTGAACCAACAACATCGATTATGTAATATTCCTTTGATTATTTGTGTGATACAACCTTGGGAAAAGTAGATTAAGCATATTAATTAACATAAAGTAATCCCTTAAGCATCTTAGTTACAAAGTAATCCCTTTAATTAATTAGTTGGAAACTAATCCAATTTTGAAGCTCGTATAGGTTGTTAAGTGGTTATCCACTAGTTAATGTCTCTTCTAATCAGTTAATTATTTTTTCTATGGTTTAATTTGGGGATAATTACGTCTCTAAACACTTCGATCAACTAGTTTACAAAATATGTACAAAGCGTATATAAGTCATGTATGTTTTACATTAAATATACTACTGTACATCTATACAATATATACATTGATAGTATATTATATGTATATTTCAACAACACTGACAAATTAATGGCGGAATGACATGGGAGACCCTTGTACTTGACTCTGTTTGTCACCTGGACCCTTCTACTCACGATTTTGCCAATTGAACACTTAAAGTTATTAAAACACATTATTTTAAACCCCTCTGATCATGTGGGCCTCCCAATCGCGCTGATGTGGATAACACCTCACTATCCACATCAGAAATATATTGCCACATCATATTTTTTTATTACAAATAATTTTTTTTAAAAAAGAAATCTCAAACTAATCTCCAAAATCATTTCTTTCCATTTTTTCTTCTCTTCCCATATTTTTCATTTATTTTGCTACTAATCATTCATTTTTTTCTTTCCTAGTGAATTTTTTACGTTGAAGAAGAATTAGAGATAAGGAAAGCTTTGTTATATTTTTCATTATAAATTTTGCTATTTTAATGGTGGTGAGAAATAAAGTGGCTAAAATGGAGGATGAGAGAAAGAGGAGAATGAGATAAAAAATGAGTAATTATAGAAAACTCTTCAAAAATACTCACAATAAAATTGTCTTACATTTAGAAAGAATCTCAAACTTATGTTTTTAAAAAACCCATCTAATATCCGCATCTATTTCACAATTTAGAACCTCTTTTTCCCCCCTCTTTTACCCAAATCTAAATAAATATTTTTTCCCCAAAACTCTCAATGATAGGTAGCATATGAGAAGAGAAAGAGGAAGAATTGAAGAGTATTGGAAGAGATTGAAGAAGATGTGTGTGTGGTGACGGTAGGGGTTGGGTGAAATTATGAGGAGGAAGAAGAAGAAACGTACAACATTTGGGAATGATTTTTTTTTATTTTTTTTAATTGTTATATTTTTCTTTTAACTCTTTTTTTTAAAAAATAAATAAATAATTGTCTTCACTTGCTTTTAAACGAGTGTAACCACTCTCTTGATCCGAGTCAGCAAAAAAACACTACATAAGCTTAGTCAACGGTCAAAGGGGTTTAAAATAGTGTGTTTTAATAACTTTAAGTGTTCAGTCGGTAAAGTCGTGAGTAGAAGGATCTAGGTTACAAACGGAGCCAAGTACAAGAGTCTTCCAGGTCATTCCGCCTAAATTAATTGACTGAACGGTATATATACGTAACTTTTTCTTTAATTTATGGACCCAATGACGTTTTTTCTTTTCTTTTTTTTTTATTTAACTTTATTTTATGTAATAGACATGCATCTTTCAGAATTTTCATGTGATATATTCCAATTTGTAGTACGTGTAATGTC